TAATTTTGCCTCTTCATTTAAGACAACCGTGAAAAAAAAAATTAATGTGCTTCAGCGTCCATTTTTTTTCTTCTTCTTTCTAATTAACCTTTAAGTTGGCCCCTTTCCATTTTTCTTCCTCATCTTGTATCTAATAGTATTCTTTTGCATGGGAGAGTGTCCACCATCATTACTTTCCAAATTCAGTTTGCCTATGTCTGGTCTCGTTTGTAGGGGAGTTCGTGGCCCTTACAGGTGAAAGGCTCAATGGATTGGACATGATTGCTTCTGGGCTTGCAACACACTATTTGCATAGTTCAGTTAATTTCAGGACTCTTTCCACATTTTTTAAAGTTTGTTTTCGGTTTATCTTTGTTATATAACCTTTGTGATTTGTTTCCCTTTATCCTAGAGGCTTCCTTTAATTGAAGAAGAACTTGGGAAAATAGTCACTGATGATCCTTCTGTCATTGAAGCTTCTTTGGACAAGTATGGTGAACTTGTCTATCCAGATGAGAAAAGTGTGCTTCATAGGTTTGTTTTAATTATAGCAATTAGTTCCAAGGACATTTTATTATGTTTACAAATCGTCCTTATATTCTATATTGTCAGCTAAATTTAGATGTTAACGATTTTAGCTAGCTTATGTATTCATGTTTGGTTTGTGTAGGATTGAATTAGTTGATAAATGTTTCAGCCATGACACGGTTGAGGAAATTATTGATGCCTTGGTAAGCATGTATCAATTTTGACTTACTTCTCGTTAGTTTAGATTTAGAATCATTAAAGCAATAAAACATTCTATCAGATTTTCAGGGGATCATGGTGTTTTAACTTTTTTCAATTTTATTTCTTAAAACTCAAAGGAGTGACACACGAGATATGTATGCAACATGATGGGTTAAAGTAGGAGAGAATTTGAGTGTGAGGTGTGTACGATGAGAGTGGATTGGTTGGAAGAATAGGGTATGTGTACTATACTATCCTTAGCATTTGAATTTATTATTGAAATTGTTTTAAATTATAGGTTATATTTGTCTCTCAAAAGAAAAAAAAAAGTATATTTGATACTTTCTAAGTAACAATCTTGAAAGAGAGTTCTCTTAATCATGTTGTAGATGATTTATTTACTGTACTGAAAATAAAAGAAGTGAAGAAACATAGAAAATAATTGCAGTCATTTTGAGAAAGATTTATTTGATCTGGGAGGCAAATTACTCACGTGTCAATCTGAGCACCTTCTTTGAAGATTTTCTGCATGGAGAAGATTCCAGATAATAAACGAAATCTTCAGGACGTTGTTCCTTTGAAGTATTTAGGGCTATTGTAGTGAAAAACGGTTTGGTTGCCACCTTTAAAAGGTTTAATGTAATGCCTTGAGAGGGTGCTATCAACTTTTTTTTTTCGTATTGTTTTTTGCTTTCTTTAAAGAACTTCCAATGACTGACCAAAACAAATTGCTGATCTGATTCTGCTACACATAACTTCATTACCAATTCTTAGCTACCTCACAAAGTTTTAAAAACTCCTTCAAAAGATATTCATTTTTCATATTGTAAGCATCTTTTGGTTTTCTTCTGGGCCCCATATTATGATGGGTGGAAGTTCATTTGGAAGTTATACCTTCCAAGTTCCAGCAATGAGGGGATCTTTGAGGCATCATTGTACTTTATACCTTCTTGCCTCTTGGACAACATCTGATTGCGTGCTTTAAAAAATGAATGTGCAGGAATGTGAGGCAGGTAGAACAAATGACGCATGGTGCACTTCTACTCTAAAGAGACTTAAAGAAGTCTCACCATTGAGCTTGAAGGTTGCCTTGCGATCTGTGAGTAGGCCTGCATGAAACATGTTTGAGATGACTTGGTTTAAATATATTGCATTATATTATATTTATGACCTGGCCCTTCATTATTACTTGGTTCAGATAAGAGAAGGTAGATTTCAGACCCTTGATCAGTGCTTGGTTCGTGAGTACCGAATGTCCCTACAGAGTATCACTAAGCAGGTTTCAAATGACTTTTGCGAGGTACACAGTTCCTAATTTATTTATTTATTTTTCCGATGAAATACTATCATGCTTTTGTGACTAATATCTTGGTTGGTGACATCATTAGGGCGTTCGGGCACGTGTAGTCGAAAAGGACTTTGCACCGAAGGTACCTTCTTCGATCCTTTGAGCCAAGATGGCTTTTGATAATCTAACTGAAAACTCTAGTAATTGAAGAAAGTGGAAACAGGAAAGAGATGGAAATACCTGGAAAGGCTATTGCTTCTCTTTTGAATACCAAAATAATGAGTGGCAATATTGCAACCCTTTCTTTTTCATCTTTAGATCAATGTCCACATTGTCTGTTCATATAATTTTAACATGCATCTTTTTCTGAAAATATGCAGTGGGATCCTCCAAGTGTTGAAAAAGTGTCCAATTACATGGTGGATCAATATTTTTCCCCTCTTAGTGAGTTTGAGCCCGACTTAGAGCTACCGACGGAGCTGCGAGAAGCATTCACCTAGTTCACCTAAACACAATATATATTGTCTCTCCAGTTTTATGATTTTGAAAGCTGGGTTGATTCCAAGCATTTGCCTGAACTAGTATTCTTTCATGTTAGGAACTAATTAATTTTTGGGTTTTCCAGCCTCTTGTTGAAAAGTGGGACGTAGCTTACAAAATAACGTATCCAGTAATAAAATAAAATAGAGTTTCTAGATCTTTTTCTTCTTTTTCTTTGGGGCGTTCTCGCCATGAATTGTTTACATGATTAATATGGTTCTTTTATTTGTCAACTTGTTTTGCCTCGAGAAGGTTTTTTCGCTTAATTATCTAGCCATTCAACTTTCTTTTGGATTGGCATAACATTCAGAATTTAAGTAAGGACGCTGCTATTGACCAAAAAAAAAAAAAAAAAAAGTAAGGACGCTGCTTCCTCCTTCCTAGGAAAATACTTCCCTCCTTCTCCGTAAGTAGGAGCTCCTACATTCTTGCCAATAGAGTGTGACATATGTGCAGAATTTTTTTTTTTGTTGTAATTTTGATGAATTATTTTTGCCTATGTGTCAAACTGTAATTCACAGAGTATCTCCTTAGTTTCAATGAGAAAAATTTATATATCACATGCGTATATATGTTGTGTATCATTTATATCTCACTCGTTACGTGAGTCGTGACCTTGTGCGATTGGAGAGATTTTGGAGAAGAACACATGTTTCACCCAAGTTTTTACTTTTTCACCCAAGTTTTTACTTTCTTTGAGGATGGATACGAACCATGGCCTCCCTTTTTAATTTTTAATTTTTTTACTATAAAAAAGTCAGTTTTATTGTTGGATACATTATTTATTTATTTATATAAGTCATATTTTATTTTAATTTAATCTAAAGAACGAGGAGGGGATTCAAACTCGGGTGCAGAGCGGGCCTGCATTGTTGGATGCATTTTAAAGCTTCATTTTCCCTTCATTTTCCCTCTCTTCTAAGCTAAAAGCCAAACGACATCGTTCTCTTTCTATCTTTCTTTCTTTTCTCAATTTTTTTGTTAAATTTTTTCATAATGTTCCCTCTCTTCTAAGCTAAAAGCCAAACGACATCGTTCACTCACTTTTTCTATCTTTCTTTCTTTTCTCAATTTTTTTGTTAAATTTTTTCATAATGTTATTATTATTTTAAGACAAAGTTTGCGGTTTTCCTTTGGGTGCGTGGTTTGGGCTTAGGGCTTAAAGAAAACCCAAAACCCAGCCATCATCATCTTCATCCCGAGCAGCTCCAACGCCCCATCTCCTTTCTGCTCAGCTACCATCGCCATCCCCATTCCTCCTTCGCCTTCCAAAACACAAGGGGCAGTGCAACACGCTACAATCTTGTTTCCATTAAATGGTCCTCAAAATTTTGGCATCAATTGATACGCAGCCAATCTCACTTCTGCTGATTCGCTAATTTCCTCTGCTGTACAAAGTAAACAAGCAGAGAGAGAGAGAGAGAGAGAGAGAGAGAGAGAGAGAATGACGACTCGAATAGCTCCAGGAGTAGGAGCAAACTTGCTGGGCCAGCACTCCGCCGAGAGAAACCAAGACGCTACTGCTTACGTCGGCAATCTCGACCCTCAGGTTCTCTGTCCATTTTGTTTATTTTTTTTAATTTGGGTTTTTGCTATCGACTAGTGTTCGCAGCAAAGATGAGAAATTTGAGCATTTAGGGCCTTTTTGTTGAGTTTGCTCAACTGGGTCTTTCTATATTATTGTTTCAAGTTGTTGATTTTGTTTGATTGCTTTCAGGTTTCTGAAGAATTACTGTGGGAGCTGTTTGTTCAAGCTGGCCCTGTTGGTATGTATCTATGTGTACCTCTGTATTAAAAATCCTAACGAAGATATGTGTACTTGGTTTGATTTAGATTTGCTGATGTTTAAGCTCTTTGTCTTTCAGTGAATGTGTATGTTCCCAAAGATAGAGTGACAAACCTTCATCAAGGATATGGATTTGTTGAATTCCGTAGCGAAGAGGACGCTGATTATGTAAGTGTTGTACATAAGCGACAATGTTCCTTGTTCTCAAGTTACTCTTTCTTTTGTTTGTTAGAGTTTTCTGCTTCTGGTTATTTATTTATTTATTGACTGCTATGCAGGCAATCAAGGTGCTTAATATGATCAAACTTTACGGGAAGCCAATACGTGTAAATAAGGTATTGAATTGTGCTTTCCTAGCTAACATTTTCTGGGTTCTATGTGCTTTGTGCCACTAGACGGTAGTAATTATGAAATGGAATTTGACATCATAAAAAGCATTCTGCTCAGTGTCTGAATGCCCCATATCATATAAGTATGGAATTTTGATGAATTGTGTGATTTTTTGGTTTCAGGCATCCCAAGATAAAAAGAGCTTGGATGTAGGGGCAAACCTTTTCGTTGGAAATCTTGATGTTGTAAGTTGTTAAGACTTTCGGAAAACCTTATTTTGCAAATAGATAGATACTCTATTAAATCAGTTCTAACGTTGCATTTTAACCCAATATTTCTTGTAGGATGTGGATGAGAAACTCCTCTATGATACATTCAGTGCATTTGGAGTCATAGTTACAAATCCTAAGGTAATGCCTCAGCATGTCTTTCATCGCTTAACATGTTTTATTTGAATATTTCGTTTTGTAACTTAAATAACTTCTTGCAAAGGATTATCGTCATTTTTAAAGTTTGTCTTTTTTTCTTTCTTCCTTTGTCATTAAATTATGTTTGTAATGTGAAGAAATACATTAGCATGCTTGTGACTTTATTTGGAGGATAAATTCATGCATGATGGTCATTGCCAATTTTTTATTTTTCTGTGATAAATTAAATGGTTATGCTTATGTGCAAATTGGACTGTAATGTTGGTAATTATCTTTTCTAGATAATGAGAGACCCTGAAACCGGAAATTCCCGTGGATTTGGCTTCATTAGCTATGATTCCTTTGAGGCATCTGATGCAGCTATTGAGGTATGCATCCTTCTACTTGTCAGTCAAAGCTTAATATCTTCCAACCATTGTTGTAATGCTTGTTGAAATGGCTGTCTTTTTCATGTTGAGTTTATTAAGAAATTGGGTTTCTTCTTGTTCTGTTTTTTTCAAGGCAATGAATGGCCAGTATCTATGCAATCGTCAAATAACAGTGTCATATGCATATAAGAAGGACACTAAAGGGGAGCGTCATGGTACTCCAGCAGGTAAGTCCTCTTGTTTACTCAGCCGCTGCTTTTGTGCTTGTAATTTTTCTTTTTGCCACATGAAAGCTTCTTCTTTAATAAGGGGGTGTCGTTGAATTTAGTGAGACCATGATAGTTGATAGAATACAAAATGAGACACGTATAACACGTTTTTACCATTTGTATGTTCATATGTGGAGCATTAATGTCTATATCTAGCTGAGACCAGAATTTGATTCCTCCTGGTTTTCATTTTATTTCTTATTTGTTGGTACATTACATAATCACATTATGCATTTGGATGAGACAAATATATTAAGTTAGTAGTTGGGTTCACTTTAAAAACAAACAAAACAAATAGTTTGTAGTTGGCTTAGCCTTTAGGGAAAACAAAAATTAGGGATTAGAATGGGTCAATGTTATTATTGCTGGACATTACTTAACTACCAGAATTACATTGCAGAGAGAGTTTTGGCTGCAAGCAATCCTACTTCAAAGAGCAGGCCTCATACACTGTTCGCTAGTGGCCCCCCAACACTTGCCAATGGTCCTCAGTCCAATGGTACCATGGGTGCTCCAGTGCCTCCACGACCTTTTGCAAATGGTGGTGTTGGTCTTCCTCCACTTCGCCCACCACCCCCTCAAGGTATGGCGTTCCCACCCATGCAGATGGGTGTACAACCAGCCTGGCAGGGTCAGCCACAGCAACCAGGTCAAGTGCCTCCACCGCAAATGCAACAGTTCAGACCTCCTCCTCCAAACATGCCACAACCCCCTCCACAGGGTGCTCCGGCTCCTCCAAGGTCTCTTCCACCACCTATGGCCATGGGAAACCAACAACCTATGTGGCGACCACCCCCACCTCAAATGAGGCCCCCAAATATGCAACACGCATCAATGCCCCCACCTCCCCCCCTCAATAACCCTCCACTAACGCCCCCTATGAGTTGACTGAAATGAATTAGTTTGTAAACTCGTTAGAATGATTTGGATGTTTCTTGTTTCATTTTGTTGCTTGTTATAGAATCAGTAATTTTTACGTTTTAGCGCAACAAACATGTTGAGGTGATTACTGATTATTAGAGGCGGCTTCTTCCTATGTTCACATCAAATAGCAAGCTCCTTATTGTGAACAAATTACCATTGTTTTATGCTAGAGTCCTTCCATAAGATCTTTTTGCTGTATGTAGTTGCCGATGTCTTAATTGTCAACATCTTCATTTGTTTTACATAGGAGGCTTCAGATTCCACTGCAATTCTCTACCCAAAAAAAGCCCAATCTGCAACCATGAACTAGCTTACAATCACAAAGATTCAATTCAAAGGAAATTATAAATATAATCCTACTCTCATGTAACACATTATACAACAACTTCCACATTAAATACAAATACATAAACCAACAAAAGCAACAAGCTAAGCGTCGGGCCATGTGGTATCTAAGCCACCTCAGTTGTCCTCGGGAACACCAAGGCTTCCCAGACAGCCTTTGAGTCATCAACAACGTGTTCAGACGAGGAGGTTGATAATCATGGTATGCATCACATCCCACCCTCGTCCAACACGATGGCCGCCACACTATCCAGTGGATAGTGCCACAACCGGTGTGTTGTCATTGTGGTATTGGTTGTACATTCTGATGGACCGCCCTCATCGCTGCAGACAACAGTGGCGAACAAGTGTAGGTTGTGTACATTTTGCCTTTACAACAAGTTAGGATTCATTTTTTGGTTACATTGTCCAGGCGGAGCCTTCCTGCCTCTAATCCGGCGGCTTGGATGACATTGCTGCTGAGCTTCGGTGACCAAGCAAATTGCTAAAAGTAGAATGACTAGTAGGAACAATGGACCCTTCTGAGAAAAACTATTGAGCTCTTCTTCATTTCAGCTATGTTTCTCTGTGTCTACTTGTGGTGTGGATGGTGTGGGACGCTTTATGAATATAAAGCATTTGAAGGGTGGTACATAGAGCCATTTCATAACACCAAATTATCCTTTTGATGGTATGAAGCAAAGACACAAACTTAGCTACTATATTAAA